TGTGGCCAGCACAGGTGGAGAGTGTCACTAGCCGCAGGTTACAGGTAGGAGATTGGGTCGCAGAGAAATTACATAACAGCTAGCAGGTGGCAGAGCCAGGTAGCAAGGCGGGCAGGGCTGTGGCTGGGGAGGAAGCCTCGGGTCCCCTTCCGGAGCAGCTCTGCCCACCCCACACGCCCTCCCCGTCGGCCCTCTGCCCTGCCCCTCAGCAAGCCTCTGGGTCCCAGCCCCCTGCTCCCACCCCCAGATCATCATGGACTCCAGCATCTCGAAGCAGGCTCTGAGCGAAATTGAGACGCGGCACAGTGAGATCATCAAGCTGGAGAACAGCATCCGTGAGCTGCACGACATGTTCATGGACATGGCCATGCTTGTGGAGAGCCAGGTGAGCGCCGGGCCCCCTGCCCTCCACTCCAGCCCACACCAGCACCCAGGGCTGCACTAACCTCACCCTTTCTGCCCGACACGCTGCCCTGCCGGGGAGACCCCAAGTTCTCAGGTAACCAATCACCCGCTGTTGAAACTGCCGCCAGGACCCTGCCCACCTGAAGGTCCCTGTCCTTTGCATGGCTCTGCTTGACCTTCAAGGACCCCAGGCCCTGCATGGCCCCACCCCCTACACCCCGTCAACTCTCATTCCCCTACTGTTTCCTCATGGGGCCACTGTGGGCCATGCATTTCCCCAGTGACCAGGACAGCTGAGGGACCTGCTTCCTGGAGTGAATAGCTTTTGGGCAAAAGGGCTGCCAAAGAACAAATGGGAGGTTCTTCAGTGGGGCTCAAACTTGAATGAGTCACCTGGAGGACTTATAAGTTTCCAGGTCCCTGTCCCAGAGTCTGGCAGGTGAGGGAAGGCCGGGAAGATACCTGTCTGACAAGCTCAAGGGTGGTGCCGCAGCCACTATGGTTCCAAAGTTACACTCGGAGTAACACTGTGCCCACGACGGGGCGGCTGCCTTTGTTTGAGTGAGTGGTCAAGGAGGGCCTCTCAGGAAGGGGCATTTGAACTGATGCCAGAAAACGGTGAAAAGGAGCCAGCTGTGAAGACTTCACAGGGGAAGATGAAGAGCTGGCCCCAGCAACACTAAGGTCCCAAGCCCAGCAAGACCCAGACTTATTTCAGGAACAGAAAAAGGAGGTCCATGGTGCTGGGACACAAGGAGTGGTCGGAACTGAGATGAAGCTGGAGACGAGGTGGACGGGGCCTTGGCAGGCAGTGTGCTGAGGAATTTGCAGTCTCTTCTAGATTGGAGGGGGTTTGGGTTGTTTGTTTTTTGTTTTAGCAAAAGATGGGATCTTGCTGTGTTGCCCAGGCTGGTCTCGGAACTCCTGGGCTCAAGTGATCCTCCCACCTCAGCCTCCCAAAGTGCTGGGATCATAGATGTGAGCCACAGCACCCAGCCAGGTTGGAATGTTTTAAGTATGGGAGTGACGTGACCTTGGTTAGGAAGCAGGGAGGCCGTCAGGAGGCTGCTGCTGCCACCATCTGGTGAGAAACAGACCACAGTGACGTGGATGCCAGTGAAGGCAACGGATGGACTTGGAGAGGGAGACACGCCCTAGGAGTCTTGTGGGGCAGTGTCATGGTCAGATTGGCCTCTGGGGTATCATGGGACCAGATCACAGGACTCAAGAGGGCTGTGGGGCTGGGCAGGGTTTTTTTTGTTTTGTTTTGTTTTTTGTTTTTGTTTGAGAGAGAGTCTGGCTCTGTCGCCAGGCTGGAGTGCAGTGGCGGGATTTCGGCTCACTGCAACCTCTGCCTCCCGGATTCAACTGATTCTCCTGCCTCAGCCTCCCAAGTAGCTGAGACTACGGATGTGTACCATCATGCCTAGCTAATTTTTGTATTTTTAGTAGAGTCAGGGTTTCACCATGTTGGCCAGGATGGTCTCAAACTCCTGACCTCAAGTTCTTAAAAGACTGAAGACCCCAGACAGCAGACAGAGCTGGATGGAGCCGTCATGCCTGAGGATGTGGGTGTGGGGAGGCTCACCCATGGTCACCTCAGGAGCTATGGCCGGGGCAGGCCCAGACTCTAGCACACCCACTCCTGCTCCCACCTTCCTCTGCCTGACACTGCCACCTCTCTGACTGTTCTCTGCATGGTCCCCAACCCTCAGCTGAGACTGCATGGCCAGCTCTACCCCCAGGATTGCTGCTCTGCGGGGAGACGTGGGAGCTGCCTTGGGGAGCCTGCCTGGCCCTCTAACAGCCCGCCCAGGGTGCCTGGGCCAGATGAGAAGCTGTACCCCATCCTCCTCATGCCCCCTTTTTCTCTCTGGCCTCAGGGTGTTTTCCTGAAGTCCTGCCCCGAGCCCCAACCCAACCCTGAGGAGGGGGCCCTCTGGAGCTCGGGTGCCCCCCGCCCCACAGGGGGAGATGATTGACAGGATCGAGTACAATGTGGAACATGCGGTAGACTACGTGGAGAGGGCCGTGTCTGACACCAAGAAAGCCGTCAAGTACCAGAGCAAGGCGCGCCGGGTCAGTAGCCCAGCCCTGCCCAAGCCCATGCCCCAGCACCAATTAGGGACTCCCAGCCATCCCACATCCCTCCCCATCTCACCTCTCTCCCTGCTCTCGGGAGCTCCCCATGACAGCCCCCTCGAGGCCGTCACCTTCCCCTGCTTGGATCCCCGGCGACTGTCCAGCCCTCAGCCTTCTCCGTAGTCCCACCCCACCTGACACCACCACTGTCTGAGGCCTCTCCTGCCCGCTCCCCACACAGAAGAAAATCATGATCATCATCTGCTGTGTGATCCTGGGCATCGTCATCGCCTCCACTGTCGGGGGCATCTTCGCCTAGAAGCCACCCAAACTGCCACTCCACTCCGGGTGGGCCACCCTGAGGAGGCCCTGGCTGCTGCTACTTGGCTGGCCTGCCCTCCCAACCCCCGCCTCTGGCTCAGAGCACCCTCCCTCCTGGCCCCCATGCTCCCTTCTCTGCCATGGGCCCTCCGTCCCCGCCCCGTGTCGTGTGCATGATCTCTGTGTGTGTCTGTATGGAAGAGGCAGAGGGAGGCAGCCAGCGGGGCGGGACGCAGTGTGTGCAGCGAGGGGCAGACCCAGGCAGGGCCGCCAGGGTGACACAGGCCATCCTTGCCTTCAGTAACTCGGTGGGACCGGGTTCTCCTCTTCCCTGGGGACCCTAACCTTGCCTCCAACTGACCTGCCCTGTCCTCTGGCCTCTCCAGCTGTCCCCACAAGCAGAGCCCTGAGGGGTGGGGACCAGCTGGCCACATGGTGCTGCTTTTCAGGTTAGGGGAGAGGTGGCCGTGAGGGACAGCCCAGCTCTGAGCCTCAATCGCTGATCACTGCCAGGGAGACTCAGGCTGCCATGGCTCCAGGCTCCCTCCCCTGCCTAGGGGCAAAGTCCATCGGGTCCTGGGCCTCAGCTTCCCTTCCGACATTCCTCCAGCCCCAGGAGCAACCCCTTGGGCTGGGCCTGACCCCAGGTGTCCCTCTGGAAGGGGCTGGTTGGTGTCCCATCTCCAGCCACCCCAGCAGCCAGGGAGGCAGAGCAGGCTGCTGTCAGGCCCTCGAGCCAGCGTTGCATGTTTGGGATGGTGGCCCCTGCTGTCTTGCGCTCTGGGAAGTCAGATGTCATTTCAGGCCTGCAGTCTCATCCTGCCCTTGCCATCCCCCATCGACGTGCCACGTGGGTGTCAGGTGTCCCGGATGCAGTATTCGGCAGCCAGCCAGGGAGGGCTACCTCGTCCTCCTCACCACCTTGGGGCTTCTCATGGGAAATGTGCCCCCGCCCCAGCACCCCCTCCCTCGTGGACAGGCAGGGAGATGCATGCGAGTGCATGCAGCAGGGGATGGGGCCGTGTCCGTGTGCCCCACCCTCCCTCGGCTTTACTCCTGCCCAGTGACTGTAACCGTCCGTGTTGCCTTCTTGAACAGCGATTCCCCCCAACCCCTTCACCAAAGGTCTTGGTACAACCAGCTGCCCATTTTGTGAAATTTTTATGTAGAATAAACATTTGTATCTGTACCAGGCCTCTGTTCTAGGTTTCTTCCCCAGGTCTCCTGGGGGAAAACCTTAGGAGGGTCCTCGCTGTTGCCCAAGCTGGCCTCCCACCTCAGCCTCCCACGGAGCTGAGACCACAGGTTGTGCCTGGCCTGGCTGCTCTAGACTTCTTGCCATCTGCAGTGTCGCAGTCTTAGAACTTGAGGATGAATAGATGTGGCACTAAGAGTAAGGGCTCAGAGGCGAGGATCCCAACTCAGCCTCAACCCCACCCTGGACCTTCAACTTCCTCAGACCTGTCTCCCGCCATACAGTGGAAAACATCCAGGCCTTACTCCCTGATAACAGGCCCAGAGGCCACACTCGAGGCCTGGAATCTGACACCTGCAGGAGACCCCACTGCAGGGCTTGGATCCTCAGGCCCCAAGCCTCACCCCTCTCCCAGACACCCGGCCCCTCGGGCCCCTGCACCAACTGCCTAATGTCTTAAGCTGCTGAACAGCTGATCCAGCTCTGTAGTGCAATGCCCAAGATCTTGCCTCTTCCCACATGCACAAGGCTCAGGCAAACCATTCCACCTCCTCTCCTATCACAGCCTGCCGGGCAACCCCACACCGCCCCAGAGCAGTGGACCCGCCCTTTCCCACCACCAGTGACGGCCGAGAGATCGGCCCAAGACATCTGAGCGCTGGGCTGGTCGGCAGCTGACCGTGCAGCAGCTCAGTGCCACAGTTCAGGCCGGGGCCACTGGACTGGCAAGGCCTTCACAGGAAGGGAAGCCAGAGACTGGCCAGCAGGCACCACAAACACATTTCATCCGGGCCCTCTTCCCAACTTTGCTTGCTGTGATTATGGTATAGTTATGTATGAGCCCCAAATTAAAGGACTCTGTTCCTTGCAAATGGAAAGAATGCTTTCATGCACGTTAAGTTTTTTTAAACCCGATTCCTGCCTGGGGAGTTAAGCAGTAGCCCACCAGGAGGAACCGGAGTTTAGTGAGAATCACAGAGCTGGGAGATGCCAGAGCTCCACAAAAGGAATTTTTATTTCTTGCTTTTAAACAAAATAAGATGCTCAAGAGCTTTTTTTTTCCCCCCTCCTAGAAACGAAGTCTCATTATGTTGCCCAGGCACGTCTTAAACTCCTGGCCTCAAATGATCCTCCCGCCTCAGCCTCCCAAGGTGCTGGGATTACAGGTGTGAGCCACCACGCCCGGCCCAGAGTACTTTTTTTTTTTTTACTGCAGAAAACATTTTCAGAACTTTAGAACTTTTCTAAAATACTACTTTGTCAGCTGAACAATATAGAAAAGTACAGAGGCAAGTGCCTGTCCAGAACTGTGTGGTGACTTAGAAGCGGGGCTTGCGCTTGCGGCCGGTGTACTGGGTGTCAGGTCTGACTTCCCTGTGCAAAAAAGGAATAGGACAGTCTCAGAAAAAAAGATCAAAGCAGCCCTGGACCCTTCAAATGCAGGGGAGCTCTTAGTGGCAACAGGCATCCACCCCCCCACCCACCCTGCCAGCTCCCAGGCTGGCACTCACCTGCCCTGGCGCCTGTGCCGCTCCTTCTTCTCCAGCACCCATGCCCGGCTCTTCCTCACCATTCCCCGCCGCAACATCCTGAATGGGACCCTGTGGTGGAGACACAGCAATGAGCTGATGGATGGCTGATGGATGGGGCTGCCCAGCTGGCCCCCACTTGAATCCATGGCAAGCTTACCTCTGAATCTGGTGGCCTCAGATGCCCCTTCCCTCAAATGCTCCACCTTGCCTACAACACAAGTCCCCACTCTGGACACCCTCCTTCCCAATAACATCCACCCGGGCCACAGAGGTTGTTGGGTGGGGAGAGGAGAGGGCTGGGCCAGGCATGGAGATCTCAACGCCAGCAAGCAGTCTGTTCCCTCTTTGGGAAGCAGCTAAGCAGCAGTAAGCAGGCCGCTTTCTACCAATGCAGTGACACATCATCACCTGAACTTCAAGAGCACAGTGGACAGTTCACGGCAGGAGCTTAGGGTCCACAGCTCGGGGGCAGGAAGACAGGGATGGAAAGGAGGGGCTGAAAAGGAAGGACTGAGGGGCATGAAGGAAGAAGGAAAGAGGGCTGGGGTAACCCCGAACACCCCTGTGACCATCCATAGAAACCCGAGACAGGGCAAGCCAAGGAGCTGCCATTTGGGTGCCTGAGCCTGATGGGCCAGCACAAAGCAGGAGCAGTTGCAGAGCAGGACTGGGGACACAGGAGTCATCATCTCAAGGTTCTACAAGGAGTACAAAGCAAGGGCAGAGTGGCAAAGAGGGGCCAACAGGTGGGCCATGGGAGAAGCAGCAAGGGGGAAAGTCATCAAGGGAGCTAAAGGGAAGAGGTGAAGACAGGGAGTGCCCCAAAGCACAGGTCCCAAGAGAAGTTGGGGTCCAGCCCTGCAGGAGGCACAAGAGGCGTGGGAGGGAGGAGGCCAGGAGGAAAGAAGGAACAGGCCAAAAAGAGAGCCTGGAGACTGATTAGGTAAAGGCTTAAAAGACTTCTTAATTCACCTATTTATTTAAAATAAACAGGTGTCCTGAATGTGATTAGACTGAGGTGACAGTAACAGAAGCCCTTCCCTGCTCTCTACCTCATCTGAGGAACTGAAAGTGTGAGCCTACAGAACGAGGGATGGCAAGGTATGTGCTGGGCACCCTGAACACACTGCCAAGATGGGTGGCACTACCCCCACTTTTCAGATAGCTGAGGAATGGATGCTCACGTCATTCAGCTTACCCGTGTTTACTTTTAGGATATGTCGTCTGAAGACCCCAGTGTGAGGACAAAAGGGATCCTAAGATGCATGGAGTAGATGAGGCAATGTGTACCTCCCCTGTGAGGAAGGAGATGGGAGTGCACCCTGGGAGCACAAGATGGACCCCTGAGAGAAGAGGTCATCCAGAAGGGCCCCAGCTGCCCATGGGGAATGAACTAGGGAAGCTAAGGGAAATGAGCAAAGACCCAAGGGGTCAGGCAGCATAAACCTATGGTGGACGCAAGGAACATGCCTGGCTGTGCCCAGCTGTGGGCCTTCCCCACACGTGCATTTGGGGCTCATTTTTCCTCTTAAATGTCTTAAAAGGTCTTAAGACCTTTCCCTCATGTCAACTGGAACTCAGAAATAACCTCCCTCTTCACTACCTTATCATCAACTATTCATTCAGAAAAATACTGAGCACTTTTTACTAACAAGACACTATTGTCAACGTCAGGGATACAATACCAGTCCTCAGCAAGTTTTCATTCTAGCTGGAGATACAAAGAGTAACCAAGTCAACTGGTATGTATGACTTAGAGCAGCGAAGGGTGTTAAGGAAAATCAACCCGAGCGGGGAGCGGAACTGCAAGGAAGACACTGAAAGAGTAATGTCAAGATACAACTTACATTTTAGAAAAAGAGAAAAAGACCAGTCTTGCTGCTATGCAGAAAATAATCTGCAAGAAGCAAAGACTGCAAAGGCAGGGAGACAAGATAGGCAGCTGCTTCAGCAATCCAGGCTAGGCGTAGTGCTGGATTAGGCTCTGCTGGATTAGACTGTTGGAAGCAGGGAGGGCCAGCACGGGGATACACACTGAGGGACGGACAGCAGGGCTCAATGACAGGCTGACGGGATGTGAAGTGTAGGGAGACAGGAATGATCAAGAATGGCAAAGAATGGAGGATGAGGCTGGGCACAGTAGTTCACGCCTGTAATCCCAGCACTTTGGGAGGCCAAGGCAGGCAAATCACGAGGTTAGGAGTTCAAGACCAGCCTGGCCAACATGGCGAAACCCCCTCTCTACCAAAAATACAAAAAATTAGCTGGGCGTAATGGTGGGCCCCTGCAATCCCAGCTACTCGGGAGGCTGAGGCAGGAGAATTGCTTGAACCCGGGAGGCGGAGGTTGCAGTGAGTTGAGATCGAGCCACAGCACTCCAGCCTGGATGACAGAGTGAGACCTCATCTCAAAAAAAAAAAAAAAATGGAGGATGGCCAGGCATGGTGGCTCACATCGGTCATCCCAGAACTTCGGGAGGCTGAGACAGGGGGGCTCGCTTGAGGCCAGGAGTTCAAGACCAGCCTGCACAACATGGCAAGACCCCATCTCTACCAAAAACTTTAAAAATTAACCAGGCATGGTGGCATGCACTTATAGTCTCAGCTACTTGGGAGGCTGAGGCAGGAGGATCATTTGAGCCCAGGAGTTTGAGGCTGCAGTGAGCTAAGATTCCACCACTGCACCCTAGCCTGGGCAAGAGAGCAAGACCCTGTCTCGAAAAAAAAAAAAAAAAAGAACGCTTAGGGGATGAAAACCAAGAGCTGTTCTGTTTGAAATACCCGTGTAAAGTCCAGGTATGGACACTGAGGAGGCACTGGGAAACCCCAGATGGCAGAGAATGAAGATACACATTTAGGAGTCAGGAACTTCTGGCTGGCATTTACACACCACAGATAGAGAAGGGATCCAATCCAGGCTGGGCCCGGGACTCGAGGAGGAAGCAGCAGTGGACTGAGGAGCAGCCAGGAAGGCTGAGGAAACCACGACCATGGGTGGAAGGCCAAGTGAAGGAAGTGTCAAGGAGGGAGCGCGCTGCTGCCTCCGACCCTACTGAGCAGGCAGGACAAGAAAAAAGGTCAAAAGTGACCAGACGTGGCTCGACGGAAACTGGTGGTGGCCTCGACAAGAACGATTTTTGGTAAGACAGAATTGTCAGCCTGAGAGGTGGAATGAGAGAATGGCAGGAGGGAAGAAGAAAGAGGCAGGTGTGAGTTCTGCTATGAAGGCAAGCAGTTCAATGGGGCGGCTAGCAGTTGTTATGGGGTTAACTAAGGGAGGAACTTTTCTAGAAAAGGAGAACTTGTGCAGCATGCCTGTGTGCTGACCGAAGTCACCCAGGAGAGTCAAGACGAGCATGCAGGAGGGAAGGGGGAGCCACGGCACCCAAGGGAGAGGGTCCCGGATGCAGGTGGAGGGCAGCGTCAGGAAGGAAGGCGACAGCCTGCCAGGTGTGGCAAGAGGAAGGGGTACGTGTGGGCTCACAAAGGGAGCTCCAAGCTGCATGGCTGCCCGCAGACATCTAGGACCCCAAACTCCTAGCCCCAAACAGGCACAGTCCAAACGGGGCCTGGTGTTTCTACCACCACCTTGGTGTCCCTGCTGCATGTGACCTGAGAGGCTTGGGTGAGGGCAGAAAGTCCACGTCTAACAAATGTGGCAGCCCCCGCTGCAGCCGGGGCAGGGTTCAGCAGTTGCTTTACCTCTCATTGGTGAACACAGACTCCCTGGGTTCATCTTCATCCTGATTTTCACTCAGCCCCTGCAGGAACCAAAGTGCACTTAGGTCACCCTGAAGAGTTCTCAACCCATCTGCCCCACTCCAGAAGCCCGGGCACCCAGGCCTGAGCCCTTCCAACAGGGACAAGGTCCAGTCCCACGAGAAGGAACCGACATGCCTTTCTGGGACCTGAAGAGCAGAGGTCTCTGCCTCCGGATTCCAGAGGACGTGAACACTCCAGGCTCTGCACTCTGGGGCTGGGCCCTGCTTCCCCACCAGTGTTCTCCCAGCAGGCTCTGCAGGCTGAGCCCCACTGCCTGGAAGTCAAGACACAGGCCTGCGGGCAAACCCAGTGTCCCTCACCTCTGGTATAAAGGACGAAGGCCCAGAAAACAAGCAGAGGTAGAATCTGAAAGGAGAAAGTGCAACGTGAGAACTGGGTGGAGAAACCCCATAGGGAGACAAGTTCTCGCCACCCCGTCTCCCCACCCCGCCTGCCTGGACCCTGGTGACCCACACCCCAACACTCCTCTGCACCACTGAGTGGCCTGGAAGGGCTATGCCACTACCCTCCCTCCTGCAGCCCAGGCAGCACACCAGCCCCCAGCGCTCACTTCTTTGCTTTGGCACTGTTAGGGTAGTCCACCACCATGCCACCGGAGAAGCCCGCCTTTGTGGCCTGGGTTGTGATCAGCTCCAACTGAAGAAAGAAAGGCAGTGGGTCATGCAGCGGAGGCGAGAGGAGCAGACAGCTTTACCTCCCTCCCCTCCTTCAGAAACCAGTCTGCCTCAGGACGAATCCTGCCTGGGAGAACTTAAGGTCGCTGTAAGCCACGTAGAGAAAAGTGCAGGCATGGCCCACACCTCGCTCAGGAGAATTACGGAACAAAGCTACTCCCCTCATTCTCACTTTCCAGCGCAGGGACCCAGCTCTCCACTCAAGTTTAGGAAGGAGATGGCCACAATTGGAAGCCAGACTCATTCATGTTATTAGTCAGGGACAGCTCTTCACTTATCTTTCAACATCTACATCCTGCTCCGCCATTCCTTAATTATACATCACACAACAGACAACTGTCGGTGCCCTCTCCCCCTTCCTAAATGGCATTCACTTATTTCGTTATGGAAATTAGTCGTATCATCTTATCTATAATACCATGTCATCTGCCAAGGGAAGACATCCCACCCCACCTCCGCAAATGCCACCCCCTTAGGATATCAGGTCATCAAATGTGCCATCAGGGGCCACACTAGGGTGCGTGTTTTCTCCTTTTCCCGCCAATCTGCATAAGGTTCTGTGTCGCTTCCCCAGGACAGCTTACCTGTTGAGTCTCCCCGCTCCCCTGCACACCCAGTAGCCAAGGGACTCACCTGCTCTGAGTTCTCAGGGTATAGCTGCAGGACAGCTCGGGATCCCCGGACCTGAAAGAAACAGGAACATCACTGTCTTACAAATGACCGCATCAGCTTAGGGCCTGGACACCCTCCCTTCCTTCATTCACCGAGTATTTCCTGAGTTTCCATTATGGATGAGGCACCTCTGTTAGGGCTAGGGATAGTCATGAACAAGAGATCAACCTGAACTTTGGAGCTCACATTTTAGTAAGGGAGGCAACTCATTCACAGTAGCAATTTTTCCTTTGTTCCAAAAAGAGGAATTGGACAAAGTGACAGTTTCCTTTCGGTTCAGTTTACTTTCGGTTCCAGAAGGTCTGTTTCAGATGGACACTTGAGCAGAGATTTGAACGGAGTGAGGAGCTGGCTGTTTAAACGTAGAGGGGAAGAGCCTTCCAGCAGGGAGAAGAGGAAACATAAAGGCCCTCGGAACTACAAAATTAAGCCAGTACGCCAGGAGGAAAACTCATGTGACACACAAGACCAGTGGCCAGATCGGCAGGGGCAGTCCAACCCAGAAAAGACCAGTGACCAGGTCGGCAGGAGGAGTCCACTCCATGAAAGACCAGCGGCCAGCCGTCGGCAGGAGCGGTCCACCCCATCAAAGACCAGTGGCCAGCCATCGGCAGGAGCAGTCCACCCCAGGAAAACTAGGGGTGGGCTGGACCAGGCTAAGGAGGCAAAAACCACTCAGATCCTTCAAAACGGACTCATTTTTAAGCTGGCACAGTGGCTTACACCTATAATTCCATCACTTTGGGAGGCTGATGCAGGAGGATTGCTTGAAGCCAGGAGTTTAACACCAGCCTGGGCAACATAGCTAGACACCATCTCTAAAAAAAAAGAAAGTAAAAAATTAGCCTGGCATGGTGGTGTGTGCCTGTAGCCCAAGCTACTTGAGAAGCTGAGACCAAGATTTCGAGGGCGTAGTGAGCTACCATCATACCACTGCACTCCATCCCAGGCAACAGAGCAAAAGTCTGTCTCAAAAAACAAGTAAGATTTAAAAAGAACTCATTTTTAGGACTTAAAATCTCAGACTATCATCTAATCCTAGTGAACAACTGAAATTAACATCATTAGTTAAAAAGGCAAGATAAAGCTAATATAGGCTCTCTCTGCGGTAAATAACTATCCTGTTCCCCATCCGAGGAAAAGGATCAGAATTAGGTGGAGGGAGAAGTGAGGAGTCAGAAGCATGTGGGCACTTTGGAAGGTACCCCTCTGGATGGTCTCAACACGACATCTCTTGTCCTCACTCTGCTCAGTCCATGCCCCCAAACCAACTTCTGATCCCCAAACCAACTTCTCATTAAAACTCAGAGTAATAGACATAGGAATACCAATCAACAGAAGTAGGCCCTGTTGCAAGTTACTAAATTGGTCTCCGATTTTGCCATCAGTGATTTCTGGGTTTGATTAGCGTATATCAGTCCATTGAGCTTGAACTTCTTTAGGCTGAGAACCTGGACAGAAGCAACCACAGTAAGGTCCTGCGGTCCCATATGAGTAGCGTTCCCATCATGGGACACCTCAATTTCCTCACTCTACCTGCAGGGCTACGGAGGGACAGGCAGCTAACCCAGATGGGGAGAAGATCTTATACTCACGAGAACAGAAAAAAGAGAAGCAAAAAAGCAGTACAGGCGCTTGGCAGGGTTTTCAGACTTCTTGTTAGCATTACACAGCCACTGCACAGCAGAAATGCTAAAAAGGAACGGACCTAGTCAGGCAAGGGAGCAATCCACATTGCTCCCCTCACCGCTTCAAGCTTCTCGACATCATCCGTCTTGGATCTCCAAGAGAAACCCCTCCTCCCACAGCTTCCCTTCTTAGAAAGTGCAGGTTCAGGCCACGTACAGTGGCTCACGCCCTGTAATCCCGGCATTTTCTGAGGCCAAGACAAAATTGCCTGAGGCCAGGAGTTCAAAACCAGCCTGGACAACATAGCAAGACCCCATCTCTACTCAAAAGTATTTTAAAGTTTAAAAATTTAAAGACAAAGAAAAAAGTGCAGGTCCACTGCAGGTCATGATTCTACAACACTGGGAAAATAGGACATACAGAAGGACAGCATTCATGTCCCTCAGTCAGTCCCAGAAACCTTTCCTCAACCTTGTTTCTATCTGCATCTCAACTTGAGAATTCCTCCATGTCAAGACTGTCTGCCCACACACCCCTCTCCTTGTTCCCTTCCTCCAATCCAAGGAAACAGGCTTTAGACTATTCACACACACACAGCCACCCCATCACCCTTCCTCTTAAATCACTCCCTTCCACTCTACCTGTTAAATGTTTTCACAACCCCCAGATTTAAAACCTCAAGCGGCCGAGCACGGTGGCTCACACTTGTAATCCCACTATTTTGGGAGACTGAGGCAGGTGGATCACCTGAAGTCAGGAGTTTGAGGCCAGCCAGACCAATACGGTGAAACCCGGTTGCTACTAAAAATACAAAAATTAGCTCGGCGTGGTGGCATGTGCCTGTAATCCCAGCTACTCAGGAGGCTGAGGCAGAAGAATCACTTGAACCCAGGAGGCGGAGTTTGCAATAAGCTGAGATTGCACCACTGCACTCCAGCCTGGGCAACACAGCAAGCCTCCATCTCAAAAAATAAACTAAAAAAACCCTCAAGCAGTCACTATGTCTTCCTTCCTGCCCTTCCCCTCCCTCTGCTGTACACACACATGCAGAGCCCTACCTCCACTCCCACTGCCTCTCCCAACTTTCACGTCCCCCCACCAATGCTCAGCGCTACCAGCTCAAATGTTTCCACCTAACTCCCTCTCCTCTTCCATCTGAAAATCACCTTCCTTAAACACACATCTGATCCCGTCACCTGCCAACTCCCCATCAACCATCAAGCCCAAACTTCTTAGGACATACTTAAGTGCCTTCTAGGAACCAACCACACACAACGCCATCTTCTGTGGAATCTCTCATTCATCACTCTCATCTCAGACCCTTTTCCCACTAGCGTCAGTGCCTCTGCCCACTGTTCCCTCACTCGGAAACCCTCTCCTTGACTATCGAAATTCCTCCCAGCCTTCAAGGCGCAGCCCCTCCACCCAAGGCTTTCCTGTGCTCTGGCAGCCCCACGACTCTCTAGGGCACACACCACTCACGGCCTTATATTCAGTTGCCTGGTCCAAGTCCTAAAGCACCTAATAAACCGTGGAGAGTATTAAACACAGAGACTGTTTCATTTCCCCGTACTCCACAGCAACTTGTATGTCTTACATGTAGCAAATGTTTACAAAAGAAAGTCTGGGCCATGCGCGGTGGCTCACACCTGTAATCCCAGCACTTTGGGAGGCTGAGGCAGGGGGATCACAAAGTCAGAAGTTCAGTACCAGCCTGGCCAACATGATGAAACCCCGTTTCCACAAAACTACAAAATCAGCCGAGCATAGTGGTGAGCGCCTGTAATCCCAGCTACTCAGGAGGCTGAGGCAGGAGAATTGCTTGAACCCGGGAGGCGGAGGTTGCAGTGAGCTGAGATCGTGCCATTGCACTTCAGCCTGGGCAATAGAGTGAGACTCCATCTCCAAAAAAAAAAAGTGTGCTATACCACCTCACCTCTCCCCCAAGACAGACAAAACTGACCACCCCCCTTCCGAAACATACAGACCATACTGCTGGTCTTCGGCTTTTCACAGCTTAGAACACCTCACCTGACCATTACCAAAAAGCATCTGCTACCCTTGAAATTATTCCCCAACCCCTCTGGGTCTTGTTCCAAGATGTAAAAGGAAAATCTTCTAATCCAAATTTTTACCTCTCACCTGGCTCCCCACTTCACATCCCCACCACTCAACCTAGGGTAACCAAAGGAGGTCACCCCTATTTTCTTACCTTCACTCTCACACTGCACCAAAAACTACACAGAACTGATTGCAGCAGCCTAAGGAAAACGTAATCAATTTTAACGCTCTCAGATCTGTTATCAAAGTGCTATGCCGATGTTTAATCCAACCCTGATTACAGAGAAAGGACTCTGGAGCACTGAAGAGATTAGAGCAAGCCCCGCCGCTCTCCACCACAGTTATTTGTTGGCAAATAAAGATGGCTGTTGGGGCCCACAAGATATCTGCTAAATGGCTGCTAGAGGCTAAAAGACCACCTCCCCTCCCCCACCAGACACACAAAGCCAACACAGAATCCGTACCAGTGGTGCCTGAACCCAGCAATGCAAAATAATCACAATAGTAGACAAGTTTTACTTTTGAGATGAAGTCTTGCTCTGTCGCCCAGGCTGGAAGTGCAGTGGTGTGGTCTTGACTCACTGCAACCTCCGCCTCCCAGGTTCAAGCAATTCTCCTGTCTCAGCCTCCTGAGTAGCTAGCTGGGACTACAGGTGCCCACCACCGTGCCTGGCTTTTTAGTAGAGACTGGGTTTCACTGTGTTGGCCAGACTGAAAAGTTTTAGAATCCAGAAAAATACACTCTTAGGCCTTATTCTAACCTTGTAAATCTGAAAATCCCATGGGATGTGTATTTGTAAATATCTGCGTGACTGCTGCACAGCCAGGTTTGGAAAGCACTGGCCTGCAGGACTAAAAGCAGGAAGTGGCCGGGGTGGCTCACACCTGTAATTTCCAGCATTTTGGGAGGCCCAAGTGGGTGGATCACCTGGGCGACATGGCATCTCTACAACAAATACAAAAAAAAAGTAAGCTGATCGCGGTGGCTCACACCTGTAATCCCAGCACTTTGAGAGGCCGAGGCGGGTGGATCAGGAGGTCAGGAGATTGAAACCATCCCAGCCAACATGGTGAAACCCTGTCTCCGTTAAAAATACGAAAATTAGCTGGGTGTGGTGGCATGCTCCTGTAATCCCAGCTACTTGGGAGGCTGAGACAGGAGAATCACTTGAGCCTGGGAGGCAGAGGTTGCAGTGAGCCCAGATCACACCACTGCACTCCAGCCTGGTGACAGAGCAAGACTCCGTCTCAACAGAAAAAAAAAAAATTAGCTACGTATGGTGGCATGGGCCTGTAGTCCCAGCTACTCAGGAGGCTGAGGTGGGCAGATCACCTGAACCCAGGAGGTGGAGGCTGCAGTGTGAGCCGTAATCACAGACACTGCACTAGAGCCTAAATGACAGACTGAGACCCTGTCTCTAAATAAATAAAAGCAGGAAGTGAAGACCCTCACCTGATGCAACCGTCAAATGTGCCCGGCTTGAATGGGATGCCCTGTCCCATATCCCCCAGCAGTAGGTCTCCCTCTATCTCTCGGTCCACAGCCTCATCTACGTTAGAGAAAAGGCAATCAGAGAAAGAGACAATACCTGTGGCTTCTCCACACCCATCAGGGTAATCCACGCTGGTGCCAGACAGGACATACTTACCCAGCATGGCAGGGCTGATATCCAGGCCCACCCAATAGTGCCCTTCATCTGAGAGATAACTTCCACTCAGCCCAGTGCCACAGCTGGAAGACACAATCACAGACTCACGGTCAGTTTGCAAAGGTACTTCACCACCTTAGACATTCTGAACCAGGCCCCAGAATCTCACCCAATATCCAGCAGGTAACAGGGCTTATTCTCTGGCAGATAAAGAAGCTCCAGTGCTCGCCCAGCCATCCTGGTCTGGATATCAATCATCCGTGAGCTGGGAAGGCAGAAACACAAGTGGACATGGTAAAGGAGTTCTGGGTGAATACCTCCCCCAGACCAAATAAAAAAAAAAAAGCCAAGTTAAAAAAAAAAAGGATCAATCATCCCAAGGTACTCTTTTCTGACCCCTTCTAAGTTGGGATCAACAAATTCAACTATTTAAAAGTGACCCCCTGGCCGGGCGCGGTGGCTCAAGCCTGTAATCCCAGCACTTTGGGAGGCCGAGACGGGCGGATCATGAGGTCAGGAGATCGAGACCATCCTGGCTAATACGGTGAAACCCCATCTCTACTAAAACAATACAAAAAACTAGCCGGGCGAAGTGGCGGGTGCCTGTAGTCCCAGCTACTTGGGAGGCTGAGGCAGGAGAATGGCGTGAACCCGAGAGGCGGAGCTTGCAGTGAGCTGAGATCCGGCCACTGCACTCCAGCCTGGGTGACAGAGCAAGACTCCGTCTCAAAAAAAAAATAAATAAAAAATAAATAAATAAATAAATAAATAAATAAAAGTGACCCCCAAATTCCATGTAATTCAGGACCATGTTATTTTGTGGTAACAAATTATCACTGTACCAGCTGCCAAGCAGATGTGTAAAAAGCAAATCACTTTCCTAATAATAAACAACCATGGGATCTGCAACTCTATTAGGCTGGGCTGCTCTAGCATTTGTTGAAACATTTTCTGCAAGAATTATCCTCCATAGTTTCTCTCATCTAGAAGGATCAATAATGCACAAAAACCTACAGAAGCACAGTCCATGAGAAACACAACATGAGCCACGTATGGCCTCCCAATAGCCAGTTAAAAAGAAACTTAAACTGGTGAAAGAAACTGGAGTCATATTTTTAACCCCATACATTTGATAACGTATTTTCTTTAACCCAATATGTTCAAAGTACCACTTCAACATATAATCGACATAAAAAGTCAGCAGTAAGGACCGGGCCTGGTGGCTCACGCCTATAATCCCAGTATTTTGGCAGGTCAAGGCGGACGGATCCCGTGAGCAATTTACCAGATCCTTGGGCAACGCAGCAAAACCCCCTCTACACAAAAAAATTACACAAACTAGCCGGGCGTGAAGTGGTGCGCCTGTAGTTCCCAACTACCCGGGAGGCGAGATTGCAGCCACTGCAGCACTTCAGCCTGGGCGACAGAATGAGACCCTGTCTCACACACACACAAAAATATCAAGCTATTTCAGCCAGCGTGGTGGCGAGTGCCTCTAGTTCCGGCTACTGGGGAGGATGGCTTGAGGCTGCAGTCGGCAGGGATCATGCCATGGTACTCCTGCCTGGGCAACAGACAGACCCTGTCCGTAAAAAAAGAAACGGTATCCAATAGCTATTGATTGATTGACTGAGTCAGGGTCTCACTCTGTCGCCAAGGCTGGAGTACAGTGGTGCGATTGCAGCTCACTGCAACCTCTACCTCTCAGGTTCAAGAGATTCTCCTGCCTCAGCCTCCCATAGGCTGGCTAATTTTTGTATTTTCAGTAGAGACGGGATTTCACCACGTTGGCCAGGTTGGTCTCGGAATTCCCTACCTCAGGTCATCCATCCGCCTCGGCCTCCCAAAGGGCTGGGATTACTGCCGTGAGACTCCACGCCCAGCCAATAGCCATTTACTTAAATAGGGCTAGTCTCTCAGTGAAAAAGCATGGAAAAATCACAAAATACCTTTTTTTTTTTTTTTTTTTTTTTGAGACAAAGTCTTTCTCTGTCGCCCAGGCTGGAGTGCAGTGCCGTGATGCCGGCTCACTGCAACCTCCCCGTCCCGGGTTCGAGCGAATTCTCCTGCCTCAGCCTCCCGACTAGCTGGGATTACAGAAGTCCGCCATCGCGCCCGACTAATTTTGTGTTTTTAGTAGAGCTGGGGTTTCGCCATGTTGGCCAGGCTGGTCTCGAACTCCTGACCTCAGGTGATCCGCCCGCCTCGGCCTCCCAAAGGGTTGGGATT